TAGCGATTCCAGGAGCCCCTAGTAGCGTCCTTGCTCCTAGTAGCGATGCCAGGAGCCCCTAGTAGCGTCCTTGCTCCTAGTAGTCCTTCATGTGTTGCAAAAAAAACTGCGTCAATTGCATCCTGCGGCATGGCATAGAAGGTGTAACCCAAAGACTGGATGGTTCCTCGCAAAGGTCGACCCGAATCGGTTCAAGCACTGTTGTGTCACGCAACCGCTTCTCCTGTGGAAAATGGATCGGCAGGTCTGATGTGAATCTCAATGGTCACACAGTTGTGGTGCCTTTTGCACAATTCCTGGCCAATTTGGAAGGCACACAGGTACCATCAGGCATTTCAAGCACCTTCAAGTCTTTCAGCGGTTGCCTCCACGGTTGTTTGTTTGCTGGTCCTGCTTCCATGTCTTCAAGCGGAGGTCTTCCTTTCCTGAAATTTCAACCCAACACTGATGAAGTTGCAGCAAGATTCTCATCACAGGAAAGGGTCAAATACAGGATGACAAAGTGCTCACATTCCCAAGGCGCATCGCTACTAGGAGCGATCGGACGCTACTAGGAGCAAAGGGCAGCGCTACTAGGGGAGCAGTAAGACCGCGCGTCTGGAGGGTGGCCGGATTGCTCTTTGGTGACAGTAGGGTGGATGGCAGCGGTGCCGGTTCATCTGTCTACCCATCACTCCATCCAGCTGTGTGTCTCTAGCTCTGTGGTTCTCTCTCTCTCTCGATCTCATTAGCAGAAATCGATGGATCGTTTGATCGTCGCATCTACGTGGCTCTCTTTTCGTCGCTTTCTTTCTCCAACCCCCGACCTGCGCCCAGCGAAGGTGAAAAGTTCATAACATTCCGAATTCAAACACTGAGCTACTGGGAATCTAATCATTCTACCAGCAATTGAACTATCATTTGATCTGTGTGTTTATCTGCCGCGTACAGGCCTTTGCCCGTTGCCGGTGCCGGTTGCAAAAATTGAAGATCGCGACTCACTCAAACCTTGCCAGGAACACCCCAGTCGATCTTCATGAAGGTTAGGCCACGCATGGCGCTTTTGCAGATGGAGGATGCTCAATAATGCGCGTGAAGAACGCATGACTCATGAACGCTGGACACGTCTACTGCTGGCCATGTGGTTGCCATGTGGCAGGTGACACGCAAGCCAAGAGACACCGCAAACTCCAACTCTCTCCTATAGAAGGCGCTTGGACGCAGTGGCTTGAGCGCACCACAAACATTCGCAGCAATCTCGGCTAACATATTCATTTCCGCTCATGCCCTATTCATTTAAATGTGTTTTCCTATTCATTTCCGCTCCTATGATTTGAAGCGCTTGCAACGCTCAACGCACGCAGCTCAGGAAGGTGATTAGATGTCACTGAGGCCGCAACGGCCGTTCTGCCACATGAAGCCGACGTCTGGCTCCTGCTTTCTGATCAGAAGCTCGCCCGTTTCTCACAGCTCAGTGCACACCATAGCTAACGAATATTGATATGTTAATATAGAGATAAATGATAAATGTTTCACAAGGGGGGTGGGCCGTGGAGGGAGGCAGTGGCTAGAGGTAGTTTGTAGAAGCTAGGTAGCTACTACCTTACTAGTACGCTACTACCCAAGACGCAGGATAGCTCACGCTTCTTCAAGGAAGCTCCCCCGCCTGAGGGTGGGAAGGAGCTTCCTTGAAGAAGCGCTCGCACTGAAGAAGAGCCCCTATAGCGTCCTGCTCCTAGTAGTAAGGCCAGGAGCCCCTAGTAGCATCCTTGCTCCTAGTAGCGATGCCAGGAGCCCCTAGTAGCGTCCTTGCTCCTAGTAGCGATGCCAGGAGCCCCTAGTAGCTTCTTGTTCTAGGGAGACTTATAACTAATAGCAAACAAAGACCCTGGACCGCAACAACCTTGCCCGCAACATACTAGGGATGACCTCCAACCTGAGAACAATGGCCTCCAACCTGGAAGCGATGCCCTCCAACCTACTAGGGATGGCCTCCAACCTAAGAGCGATGGCCTCCAACCCGCTCCTACTTACTTCATTAAGTAGACGCCTACTTAATCAAGTAAGGAGGCAAGCTACTTGCATTAGCACGCTCCTAGCTAGGACGCAAAATAACTCACGCTTCTTCAACGAAGCGCTCGCACTTATGATATGATTCCTAGATTTTGCGGGAAACTTAACTAGTGGCGATGGCCTCCAAGCTAGTCGCGTCATTGCTACCAGCAGACAATGCCCTTTGCTACTAGTAGCTTCTTGTTCCTAGTAGTAAGGCCAGGAGCTACTAGTAGTGATGCCCTTGTGTGGAAAATGAGATTGACATACCAGACTTTACCCGCGGTGCATACATGTGCACAGCTTGGACAGCTCGCTCTTGCGCTTTTGCAACGTGTTGGTTGCTATGTGTGTTTACCTACATGCGGTGCACATACAACGGGCTCGCACCTAAACACCAGGTGAGATCCGTGTTAGGAAACTCACTTGACCGGTGTAGACCTGCGATGGCCTCCAACCGAGTAGCGACAAACGTGTAGAGAGGACACTCGTAACAGTCCTCTCCGTGAAGGCCTCAACTGCGACGAAAAGGCCAAGAGATGTTAATGGGAGCTACTAGTAGCTCCTTGCTCCTAGTAGCGATGGCCTCCAACCTACTAGGGATGGCCTCCGCCTAGTAGCTTCTAGTTACTGGTAGCAATGCCAGGAGGTACACGGATCAAAAGTGAAGACGAAGAATTCCAAAATAAGTTTTCGGCTGATGCTTTGAGGACATGCGTCGAGAATAGACTGCAGGAAGCCTGGCACCTGACGGCGATTGACAGGTAAACAAAAAATTTGTTTGGGCCTCGCCTCCAACCTAAGAGCAAAAGAAATCTGAATAACTGTTTGTTAGTGGTAAGGCAAGGATCTACTAGCGTTCTTGCTCCTAGGAGCGATGCCCTTTGCTCCTAGTAGCTTCTTGCTAATCGCAATGGCCTACCTACTAGCGATGACCGTACCTTTCGTCCTTTCACTCATCGTTTGGCAAATGCAGGCCCACCGTTCTTGTCGGCTCAAGGTTTGACAAACACTTTGTAAAGAATCGAGTGAATGTATTCGCGGAGTGAATGTGTTCAAAGGCCTTCTTTTCAGTGACGACTTTGATGTTCTGGGGATATAAAGCACGCGCAACCATGACCTGAGAGCATGAGATCTGGTACAAAAATGCTAGTAGTAACAAGTGCCTCGCTAGTAACAAGAAGCTATTAGAATTAAATTAACTATAATTAACTAATAGCAAACATTGTTACTACTAGTAAGGCACTTGTTATTAAAAGCGATGCACTTGTTCCTACCTGAGAGCATGAGATCTGGTACAAAAATGATCCGTTCGTAGCGATGCCCTTGCTCCTAGTAGCGATGCCAGGAGCCCCTAGTAGTTTCTTCTTCCTAGTAGAAATGTCCTTAGTTCCTAGTAGCGATGTGCTTTGTTGCTAGTAGTACCTTTTGTTTGTGCAAAGCTGCACGAGAAGCAGACAGAATGAAACATGGATGCGGCTGCGCACACCAGCACCTCAATCAGCGTTGGTCTTCCACACATAGATCACACGGAATTCTGAGCAGCTCACATGCACCACAAAAGTGCTGAGGAAGCAATAAAACGAAAACGTCAAACGATATTGCTCCTGCATCGCCATTGGAGGCCATTGCTTTTCCGGATCTTCGGTCTTTCGCTCATTGTCGGTCCTGTTGCTCCTCTGATGGGCAATATGGCCTGGCGGTTTGTGAATATTTCATGTTGTGAGATCAATGGATATGATATATTCCGCGCACTAGAAAGAAGCTACCAGGGGCTCCTGGCCTTACTAGGAGCAAGGACGCTACTAGGGGCTCCTGGCATCGCTACGAACGTCACAAGAAGCTAAGTATGCATTGCAAAAGCAAAGAAGACGACGGCTGAGTCTCCACACCCATAGAACCAGCCCCCACGACGCGGAGATCCCCAGGCACTGAAATACCATAGCACCACCTTGGCGGGCGGAAACGAGTTCAGAACCTGCAGGTGTTCGAACAAAGAACCAAAATAAGGTCTAAAAGCGCCTCCAACCTAATAGTGATGGCCTAATAGCGAAGGTCTAGTTTCTTTTCGTTCCCAAGTTCACGTCCAAGGCAAGGCCCAATGCATGCCTAAGAGATCCTGGACACGTCCGTCACAGTGTCAGCGCACCCGGATTCACCCGACTCAAAACAGGTTTGAGTAATAAAACGTTAAGAAGCCTGCAACCTATTAGCAATGGCCTCCAACCTAGTAGCTTCTTGTTACTAGTAATAGAATGGTAGTAGTAGCGATGCCCTGTGTTCCTAGTAAGGCCAGGAGCCCCTAGTGATGCCCTTTGCTCCGTTCGGAGCGCCGCCTTGAGTGATGGAATGTTGAGAAGCCTCCGGATTTCGGTCCCAAAGGCCTGGGAGCACAAAGCGGCAAAGCGCAAGTGAACAGTTCCCTTCGAACGAGAGGCGAAGTGCCACATAGAATGCAAAGAAATAGTTGGCCTTGGATGAAATTGACAAGTGATGAACACTGTCCACTAGCACTTGTAGTTGAGGTTTCTATTAGTGTCTGTTTCCAAGACATTGCAGGGCAACTTGCGGGGAACACTGGCAAATTCTCCCCCGCCCTCTCTCTCTCTCTCTCTCTCTCCCTGTGCGGCCCCATCAGCGTCAGGGCAACGATTGCATTGCAAGCTTGTTTTTTGGACGACCGCACACTTCTGGCCACGAAATCTCAGCACAAACACTGTGCAATAATTCAATAATATACATACCACGTGTTGCTTCCAAGGGCTCAAGAACCTGTGCGAAACCAGTGCGGGCAACGGTGCAGACCAAGGGACCAACCAAAAAGTTGTCAATCCCAGCGCCTTGGTGACCAGAAAGCGAAATGAAAGCGCAAAGCGCGCGATGCCAGGAGCCCCTAGTAGCTTCTTCTTACTAGCTACTTGCTCCTAGCAGTACGGCCAGGAGCCCCTAGTAGCGTCCTTGCTAGTAGCGATGCCAGGAGCC